GCCCCCAGGCTCCAGAGTCCTGCCAGATGCCACCGCCCCCTGGCACATTCACCCCCTCCTTTAAAGATTAACCACTTCACGCTCCCATCCCGCGCAGGAGCAGCCCAGGAACAGGCTGGAGCCCCTTTCTGCTCTGGAATCCAGCACGCCTGGGCTCTCCGCCATGACCTTGTGCCTCAGTTTCCCACCCCACCTCTAGACTGTAAACTCCGGGTCTCTCACCGGCTCCCCTTGCCTCCAATCTCCCTCAGTCCTTGGCCAGGGAACCCTTTTCCCTGAGGCATTTGGGCGGTGCCGTCCTGCAGCCATGGAGCTAGATCGGTCGGCTCCGCCAGCGTCACCCCACAACTGCCCCGGGCAGAGAGGGGAGCGGGGCCTGCTCCAGAGTTGAGCCAGCGCTTCCCACGGCCGTAGGATTGTGTAAGAGAAGCACACAGAGGCTGGACTCTGCACTGCGCCAGGTGCTACCCAGACCCCGCCCAGCCACCACCCGACAGCTCCCGGCACACCAGGGCCCTGAGCTCCACAACGCCCCCTGCCCCTTTCCCAGCATTGGGTGAGGCCCATTATAATGCGCAGACCCATCCCCAAAGAGCCTCCAATCCAGACAGGGCAGGAGGAGAAACTGAGGCAGAGTGAGGCCGCCATTGACCCAGGGTCACCCAACAACTCTCCCCCTCACACACTCTTCCCAGCCCCTTACCTTGGCCTGGCCAATCTCAAACTTCTCCTCCGGCGGGTAGATGACCGGGGTCTCTGGGCGGCTGGTCCGGATGAAGCAGATGCCCTAGGGAGCAGAGGTGGGGCAGAGGAGCCAGGCAAGGCAGGTCACAGGCAGACTTAGAGCTTGATGCCAACAGGCAGCGGACCCCCAGCCACAGGTGGGGCTCTGTGATCCCACACACATCCGGGCAGGTCTCCCAGGACCCTGGGCTCACCCTGCTCCCATAGCTTAGAGGGCAGGGGGTAACAGACCTGGACTGGGTGACCCAGGAGAGCTTCCAGGCCGAGCTATCGACAGCTGCCCCCCCAAACACATGCAACACCCCACCCAGGTCACCTGCAGGATTCCCAGCTTACCACCACGCCGTCAAGGGACGCTACAAGCGGAGGAAATCCAAGGTCGCACGGGTCCGATGATAGAACCCAGGAGTCCTGGCTCCCAGCCCCCCCTGCTCTGACCCACCAGACCCCCTCCCCTCCCCAGGGAGAGAACCCAGGAGTCCTGGCTCTCAGCCCCCCCTGCTCTGACCCACCAGACCCCCTCCCATAGCCAGGGAGAGAACCCAGGAGTCCTGGCTCTCAGCCCCCCCTGCTCTGACCCACCAGACCCCCTCCCCGAGCCAGGGAGAGAACCCAGGAGTCTCTCTCAGGGGCAGGCGAATGGAGGATGCAGAGAACTGGCACGGCCAGGCCCAAGGACAAGGTGGAGTCCACCATCGGTGCCATCCAGACCTAGAGCCAGATCCCACAGCTGGCCCCTGAGGACGCCCCACAGCCCCCACTCCTGAGGCAGCAGCACAAGGAGCCCCCCGGAGCGGTTACCTTGGTGTTGGCAGCCAGGCAGACGGCGCGCTCCGTGGAGACCGCGTCGCTGGGGTAGAAGACAGTGCAGCCGGGAATGGTTCGGAACATGGCTATGTCCTCCAGGGCCATCTGTGAGGGGCCGTCCTCCCCTGTGGGGAGCCACGAGAGGTGCCGGGCTAGACAGCAGGCTCGCTCGGCAGCGCGGGGGGCCAGCGGCCCACTCCCCTGGCCACGCAGCCTCCAGGAGCCCCGACGCCTGGGGTCTGCTCTCAGCACTGCCACCAATCTGTACGTGGCCCTCTGGCAACATGGCCAAGGCGCCGGGGCCCGGGGCGGGGGGAGTGTCACAGGGCAGCCCAGCATCCCCCCTGTGCCTACCGATGGAGACCCCGCAGTGGGAGCCGCACAGGTTGAGGTTGGTCCGGGAGATGGCGCCCATGCGGATGTGGTCGAAGGCCCGGGTGAAGAAAGCAGCAAAGGTGCTGGCGAAGACCACGGCCCGGTCCCTGGCGGCGCAGCCCAGAGCCACGCTGACCTAGGGGGAGAGTGCGTGAGAGCTGGCCCCAGAGAAGCCCCCAGCCCCACAGACAGCCCCCAGCACTGACCATGTTCTGCTCGGCGATGTAGCACTCGATGTAGCGCTCGGGGTGCACCCGCTTGAACAGCTCGGAAAAGGTGGAGTTCTTGGTGTCGCCGTCCAAGGCCACCACGCGCTCGTTGGCAGCGCCCAGCTTTGCCAGAGCCACGCCATAGGCCTTCCGCGTGGCCACCTGCAGGGCAGGGGAGTGTCACGGTCCTGGCCCCACAGCCACCAGTCAGTCCAGACCCCCTTCCCCTAGCCCCCTGCCACCCCAGCCCTGGGCTCCTGTCATGGAGTGTGGGGGAGTCAGGGCCCTGCACCCCTCTTCCTGCGATTCCCCGGGACTCTCAGCCGGCCAGTAACACAGAAGGTTTATTAGATGACAGGACCACAGTCCCAAGCCGAGTGTGTAGGTACAACCAGAACCCCTCAATCAAGTCCTTCTGGGGGGTTCAGGGAGCTTAGACCGCAGCTTGGGGTTCCCTGCGTTGCACCACCCAGCCCAAACTGAAACTACCCAAACCCCTCCCGCAGCTCTCTCCCCCTCCCCTCTGCTCCTCCTCTCCTTTGTCCAGGTGTCACTTCTCCCAACCCCCCTCCTGGCTCAGGTAGCTTCCTTCTCATCCCCAATGCAACCCCCCTGCAACATCCCCAGGTCAGTCCGCCCCCGCTCCCTGCTCGTCACAGCTCCCCTTTCCCCACCTTGTCCCCAATGCACCCCCCTTGCAACATCCCCAGGTCAGTCCGCCCCGCTCCCTGCTCGTCACAGCTCCCCTTTCCCCACCTTGTCCCCAATGCACCCCCCCTGCAACATCCCCAGGTCAGTCCGCCCCGCTCCCTGCTCGTCACAGCTCCCCTTTCCCCACCTTGGCCCCAATGGTGTATTCGGGCG